TTACACGGATCCGTTCCCTACCCTCTATTGATGAAACATGAAACATGAAATATGATGTATCCTTCATTCATTGATCACAGTCTGCTTATTTCGTGCATGCGTTAAAATGTATTTTACAGATTGCACTGGTCTCGGTGTTTAGGTTGTAAGCCTATGTGCTGGGTTTGACGGTTAGGCGGATTTTTTGTAAGTAATCCAGGCCTCTTCCACAATAAGTGTATTTTCGTGGGTTGTTGTGGGAATATTTCTTTTATCAGCTGATCCCGCCTATTCATGCATAGTGTAATGAAATTGACTTCCGGAAATCATTCAGTAGGAAGAAGCTTAAGAGTCTGTTTTCACGATTGTGCAGCAAAATAGCAGTGGAGTTTCCACTCTAATAGCAAAGCCGAACAGCTGCTGGACAACCCGAGTGAGAATCAAATATTTAAGAGCAGGAGACCCTGTAATGAGCCTAGACCACAATCCCTTGTGGGGGCAAACCTTGCCAGCAATTTGCCCTATAGGGCGTTGATGTTAATGTTCTCGTCTAAATATATGCGGAGCTATATGTATTCTTCAAGCGTTGTTGGTAAAATTTAGTTCTAGAGCTGTCACGTACCCTAAAACTGGCTCTATTTTGGTTTTACCTTCAGTTATGTGAACTAATAGGTTTGCAGAAATTCGTAACGGTTAGCGTAAACAGAAACCACCAAATAACATAAGATGCATGGTATGAAAGCTGGCGAAGGCTTATTTTTCGGCGTTTACTAGTTACTGCTGTTCCTTTACTAACAGTCAGTGTCTGACGGATCGATCCTTCTGAGAGATCTGTACTCGATATGTTTGTTGGCAATTTTACAGCGGACTTAGCATATTAGAAAATGTAAGTATACGTCTGGGTAGTTATTTAATAAAGCGGAAAATTTGGAATGAAGAACATCGGTAAATAATTGAACGTTGCGTCTCAAACGCTTGTTTGAATGGAGAGAAGATGCAGAATGTAGTTAGTGGAAAACTCTACAGCAGTTTCCTTAACACGCAGTCTGCATCGTCGGAGTGCTCATCATTACTCTGATGGCAACCATCACCGATTCATTTACTTGTTACAACATAAGACAATATCTGTCGTAGGTAAAACTAGAAGAAAGCCGTCTTTAGTTTGTATTACGCATATTTTCTATCAAACACCACTTTAAACCTCTTTTTGCAAAGCGTTTTGGCTCAGGGTGGTACACCCATTCTATATTTTGTCAGTTAATTAAGAATGTTTGCTTTCTTATTCAGGCACTACCTGGAAAGTTTACATAGAAAAGTATATATCATCTACTATGGCTCGTTCACGACAAAATTCAATATTTTGTAAACATTTCCTGTTGACTTTCAGAGTTTTTCGTTACCGGAGTTTCAGATATCCTTTTCAAACCCATAACGTGTTCTAAAAGCTTTCCTGAGCGTAAAATTGTGGAATAAAAAACAATAACCGCTGCCGAGGTAGGATTCTGTGATTCTAAACAACATTTTCTCGAATCTAATAGGGATTAGCTGTTTTTCAGCCATATTTTACCATACACATTTGCAAATGTTAGGTATTTACTCCTAATGGTCTTTGCTTCCTTTCCCAATCGTTTTTAGAGCCTTCTTTGACGTCATGGAGCTTTTGCGTCTACCCGAGGCCATGTCAAATGCTCCTTATGTATTTCCTATTTCGTCAACATCCAATCAACTATTGTAGTCACAACAGTTAGCCTGCCAATTTGCTGGTGAGGCTGAAAAAATAAACAAATATCTGAAAGCGTTTTCTTCGGCCTGCACGCGTGTCTGCAATGCTCAGGTATGCCTCTATTTTTCAGTTATTCATACCTGGTAGGAGGCCCTTGCAGAGGCATACATTCAACTTTCTGAAGTTGCCAGGACGATAAGTAATCAGGTATGTACTTGACAGGCCTGCCTCTTTACACCGAATCTTCCAGGATTCAATGGTACAGGCGAAAAATTCCGATTTTGAGCAAACTGGCCTTCAGTTTTCCAGCTTTTTAGAGGAGGTAAGTTACCTAAAGCATCTGCCCTTTTACATACTCGTAGCTAGCTGTTCTGCATCAAAGATTTTCCGACGAACTACGCTCTTCGATGTTCACGCCTGCACACAAGCTTCCCAGTCAGCCGAACCTGCAGTTGACCGGATCCAATTCAGAGACTCTGATTCGTTTTGTAAGCACTTCAGAGACCCAACAAAATTACGACACCTGTGAACATGAGATGGAAATTGCACTGAAAAACTACATGAAGTTATCTAGGCGTTGCACTCCAAAACAGCATGATGATACAGTTCAGGAGTTGAGTAAGGTAATTTATCTCCACGTTTGCCCCTTTGCCTGTTTTTTTCTCGACAAACATGGTCTGGGTCTTTGTTTGGGTTTGGCTGCTGTTGCAATTCGGTCAGCTAAATGACTCTCTGCATATCTGCTTTGCGCTTTAACCGTGAATTCAAGTAACTTGCATCTGAAGTCACTTGTACGGTGTTTGGATTTGCAAAGACTCCGTCATAATAGTCAACTTGTTGAGGTCCTTTGGCCCTAAAATGTCTCCCAAATCGCATTGTCTTCTCTTAGTGACTCCTAGTTAATTTGCATGAATTTAA